CGTTTTTGATCTACTGCACAATATTTTTATGGTCATCTGCTATAAAATCCCAGATCAGGAAAATCTCCTTCATGTTTTTCTGTTTTATCCTCAGTTACTTTGACACAAAGGCCTCTGCTGTGATGCTCACACCTCTGATAAAGTCTCACAAGTGTCAGCTTTATTTTTATAGATATAAAAATATAGATATGTACTGATAAGTGATCAGAATTATAATATTTCTGACTGTCTGAGGCAATATTTCCCCAATCGAATCGAAATCAAATCGTGGATCGAATTGTGGAATCGTGGATCTAGAAATCAGTGACGATACGCAGCCCTAGTCAAGAGCTCATATTACCCCAGTTCTTCAGCAGCTTCACTGGTTGCTTGTAGAAGCCAGGATAAACTTTAAAATCTTACATCTCACGTACAAGTGTATCCATAAGTCTGCTCCTTCCTATTTGTGTGACCTGCTTCATATCACCACTGTTTCCAGCCCTCTCAGATCCTCATCTGCTGTTCATCTTACTGTTCTGTCCACACGTCTCATCACTATGGGGAACAGAGCCTTCAGTCACTCTGCTCCTCAGCCCTGGTGCTCTCTTCCTCCAGCCATAAGAAAAATTATTCAATATGTTGTTAAAGAATTAGGTTTGTTACACATGAGGATAAAACTGCAGCAGAATGTTGAGACTTGTATTCTTCTTCTTACAGCATGTGAACAATGTGGACCCAAAACAGTAATGTGTATAATATAATGCCCTGTATAATCACAATGGTAATAGGGGTAGCATGAGGATTGGGTTGGGGCCTTTCTGTATGGAGTGTGTATGTTTTCTTCATGGCTCCTCCCACAGTCCAAACATATGCAGTAAGTGGAGTTAGTCTGTCTTCATGCATGCTCAATCATCCAGTTAAGGAAATGAGTTAGTCAGTGGTGCTGGTGTCAGTCATTCTGCAGATGTTTGTAAGGTTGGGGAAACCTTCAGTCAGCTGAAACTGAAGAACTGATGATTCTAAATTGTCCAAAGGTGTGAATGATGAACATGACTACGGATGATGTCTGTCTGTGTTGACCCTGCAACAGACTAGCGATCTGTCCTGGGTGTACCCCACCTCTAATCCTATCACATAGCCCTCCCATAGCCCCAAAGTTTGATAAGTGGTTAGATGTGCAAAGGTCATGTTAAACTTTCACATTGTTACACATGAAACCACTCACATTTAATGTAAAAAATATAATTACTATAATCATTAAAAGATCAGGCTGAAAATCTGAAAAGTCCAGATATACATGCCCAAGGTTTTTATTTTTAAATAAACTATACTTGAATAATATGTAATGCCTGGGTGAATTAAACTCCTCTGGTATGGACAGATCTATTGCTCAAGACAGCTACATTACAGAAGCAGAAAAATTATTCAATATGTTGTTAAAGAATTAGATTTGTTACACATGAGGATAAAACTACAGCAGAATGTTGAGACTTGTATTCTTCTTCTTACAGCATGTGAACAATGTGGACCCAAAACAGAAAACTGCACAACATGATGACGAGCAGGCAAAAGCTGAAGGTACAAATAAACACGGAGACACTTGCAGAAAGTGAACATACAGGAGCAAGCAACTGGGAAATCGTGGCTGAGGAAAGTAGAACTGAATAAAACACATAAAAAAGACTATCAAAATAAAACAGCAAATAACATACGAAGGAACACTTATAACCAGTGTTGGTCAAGTTACTCAAAAAAAGTAATCAGTAACTAATTACTGATTACTTCTCCAAAAAAGTAATCCAGTTACTTTACTGATTACTTATTTTCAAAAGTAATTAGTTACTTAGTTACTTTTTAAAAACA